ATCATAGAAGGCCACCAAATTGGTCAGGCAGTATTTCCCCTTAGTGAAGCCATGCTGGCTGTCACCAAGCACCTTGTTGATTTTCATGTGCCTTAGCATGCCTTCCAGGAGAATCTGCTCCAAGATTTTGCCAGGCCCAGAGGTGAGACTGACTGCTCTGTAATTCCCCGGTCATCCATTTTCCCCTTCTTGACAATGGGGGTTATATTTCACTTTTTCCAGTCATCGGGAACTTCACCTAACTGCCAGGATTTTTCAAATATAATGGCCAGCAGCTTTGCAACTTCATTCACCAGCTCCTTCAGGACCCGTGGATGGATCTCATCAGGACCCATGGACTTGTGCACGTTCAGATTTTTAAGATGGTCTTGGACCATATCCTCTCCTACAGTGGGCGCAAGGTCTTCATTCTCACAGTCCCTGCATCTGCCTTCCAAGACTTGGGTGGTTTGGTCAGAGCCTTTGCCAGTGAAGACCGAGGCAAAGAAGTCATTCGGAACCTCAGCCTTCTCCAAATCCTGTGGAGCCAGTTCTCCGGAGAGCTTCCTGAGGGGGCCTACATTCTCCCTCTCTGTTTTTTATTTGCTATGTACTTGTAGAATCCCTTCCTGTTATCGTTAATAGCTAAGTTTAATTCTAACTGGGCCTTAGCTTTCCTAACCTGGTCCCTAGCTTCTCGGACACATCCCTGTATTCTTCCCAGGCCACCTGTCCTTGTTTCCAGCTTTTGCAAGCTTCTTTTTTGCCTCGAAGTTTCCTCAGCATCCCCTTATCCATCCAAGGAGGTCTCCTGGCCCTCCTGCTGCACTTCCTTCTAGTTGAGATGCAACACTCCTGAGCTTGCAGCAGGTGATCCTTGAATATCAACCAAGGGTCTTGGGCCCCCCTGCCCTCTAGGGCTGTATCCCATGGAACCTTACTGACAGGTTCCTGAAGAGGCCAAAGTCTGCTCTTTTGAAGTCCAGGGCAGTGAGCTTGCTGCATGCTCTTCTCACTGTCCTGAGGATCTTGAACTCCACCATTTCATGATCACTACAGCCAAGACTGCCCTCGATGAAGAAAAGGGGTTTGTTGTGATGGTATGAATCATTTGTACTGATGGATTTGATATGCATACGCTTCCTTATCCTGATGGGAGAAAAGCACACTATAGAGATGCTGTTTTATCAGTAATTTTCCACGATTTAATATATTTTGTAAGTTTTGAAATTAAGACTTTTTGTAAGATTAATTAAAAAAAAATAAATGTAAAACTCTACCTGATGTTCTGCCCCTTTATTATTATTACTAGTTTTCATGGTTTGTTCTTATAATATTAAAAGGGCAAGAAATACATCTGTGCTTCCTTATCTTTACTACTTGCGTTCAATGTTACACATTGTGGTTGTTGCAGCCTGGTGCTGGGGCAGGCTGTGAGCTCTGTCAGTGCTGCAGTGAAAAAATGTGTCAGGAATAATAACCCCATGGCAAGTGCCTCACCAGGAGCACCATCAAGCTGTGAACAGTGTTGAACTGGCTGGAGTAACCATCTCAAAGTGATGCTTCCCTCTAAAATGTACGAAAGTTTAGACTGCTGTCCAGCAAATACCTGCATGAAGTCAGACAAAATTTGTGCCAGATTCTTGGATTGTAACTATTTTCACTGAGAATATATTGTTGTGCCTCTGGTGTTTCTCTGCCAGGAAGAAATGAAACACTCAAATAAGGAATGGTTCATGTGGTAACTTTCCTTTGCTGTTTAAATCATCCAGTTAGTAATGAACATCCAAGGTCAGTATTTGCATGGAAGCAGACACTGTTCTAGAAACAAATATATTGTAAAGGTCTTGCTGTGCTGGAAGGTGGAGATTTCAGTGAGGCTTTGCAAGCAGTCACATATTGCAGTTATCCTGTGCAAGGCTCTGACAGCTGATGCAGTGTAAAGGTTTAGGAACGCTGGGAAAAATAAATCACAGTTGAGGGACAAAAGAGAAGGTATTTTTTCAGCTATATTAAAAGTGAATCCAGAAATTGCTCTTTCAGTATTCCCCCTGTGCTGAAGGAAAGAGCAGTTCAGTCTTTCTAAACAAGCCTTTCATCTCTGATCCTAACTGTGAAGAAGTGGGTCATTGATAGCTGAGCTCATCCCTTCAGAAAGATGCCTTTAATAATACAAATAAATCTATCCTTTAATAATGCAAATAAATCTATCTTATTATCTCTTGTGTCCAGTGATTGAATGGACTTACAGAGACTAAATGACCGTGTTGCCCTGCATCAGCAATACAGGTGCCTTAGACTATAGTATTTATGTATAAATTGAATTTTGGTGGGTAATTTTTGTCTTTTACAGTCTAAATCAGTTCACTCATGGAAGTTTGCAGTTTCATGGGCTTCTTTAAGGTTTCCAACCGGGACTTACTAAATCAAACACACACAAATGAATGTTGCTGCTGGGTTTAATACTTATTTATCAAGGTCTCTGTGTACCACAATGGGAATTCCACTTAGGTGTTCAAGTACTTTAGTGTGTGTATTCGTGCCAAAGGGGTGAGAATGAACTGTATGTGAACTTAACATTATCAGCTCTGCAGTGTAACCTCCTGTCAGCTACAGCATGTTCCTGGGTTCTGAGTGTTTAAAGCACATTCTTCTTCAGAACTGAAGACATCCATGCTGAATCCTTGGGCTCTTCTGGACAGAATGATCCAGAGGGGCATTGTGAGTTCTTGTGTATAAGTGAATTGATTTAGGAGGCTTGAATTCCTAATGGACTGAAGTTTTGCTATGCTGAAAGGCTTCATTTGGTTGTATTTCTCCCAGACCTGGGGCAGTGCTGCTCAGTGGGGCAAGTCTAACCCATAGGGTTCCTGATTCTAGCTGAACTCTATGGGTGTTGCTTTCATTGGAGAGTCTTCAAGAAACTGAGGGCTTCATTTGGCTCGATAACTCTGCTGTCAGTTAGAGTCTCTAACTTAACTCCTCTCTGTAACTATCCCATGGCACACTTTCCCTTTAATTTGTGGTTTAACAGAATTTGAAACAGTATGTGGGCTATAACAAAAAATGGTACCGTGTGTTCACAGGAAAAGATAAACTGTGAAAGAACAGTGCTCTGAAAAGTATTTTGTATCTTTATAGTTGCAGGTTCTGCATCATCTTGATCATAGTAACTCCATCCCTGGCGGTGTGCAAGGTCAGGTTGGACAGAGCCTTGGGTGACATGGTTTAGTGTGAAGTGTCCCTGCCCATGGCAGGGGGGTTGGAACTGGATGATCTTAAGGCCCTTTCCAACCCTAACTATTCTATGATTCTAAACAAAGGGTTTAGGATTCTAAATGGAATTAGTTTGTGTAGTGGTTGTTATTCCCTGATGACTGGCAGGTGTGGAGAATAAAAACAATTCTTATTTTCTTGCAGACTTTCTGCACCCAACAGTTACAGTGATGAGGCGTAAATACAGGCAGTAATAAACAGGCACTTTTGTCTGTGTTTAGGGTGTGGGAAGAGAGGTCACCTGTGAAGACTGAGGCAGAGGAGTCCCCCAGCCTTGTCCATTGTTACCTGTTTGCCAGTTGTGTTCACCTGGGGGATGTACACTTTCTTTGACCTTTTCTGTCTGACATACCTGTAAAAGCCCTTCTCATTATCCTTTGTGTCCCTTGCCAAGTTCAGCTCCAGCTGTGCCTTGGCATTCCTGACCCAATCCCTACGCGACCAGGCAGCATCCCTATACACAGGTGTGAAAATCACCTGCTAGAGACACCAGGAGTATGTGTGAAGCGAGTAACACAGCTGTATAGCCACTTGCATTTGTGGATACATACTGTATTTATCTGTATATATGACGTAAATCTTGTTCCAGTGTAAGCTGCAGTTAATGCTTGATGGTGTTACTGTTGAACTGCAACGATAAGAATAGATGGACCGATGTAAATCACAGATTGCTGCAGTTCACCAAGACCTTGCAATTCTTTCAGGTACTGGAAGGTACAGATGGAACAGCAGATAATTAGAATGTGATGTTTTGTTAGTGCCTTGGCAGGAGGCCTTGTGCTTCCCTTACTGGGAACTCTCTAATGGAAGGTGAATTTTTCACAAGGGCGGCTCTTTTTCTAGGTAGGACCTAAATAATGGTATGTTACACATACTGTGGGTTTCGGGGGAGAGGGAAGAGAAACAGATTATGAATCAGTGGATTTGTTGGACACTGACTCCAAGGATTGCCACAACCTCCAAATTTGTCTATAGGATGAAGCAGTGGAAAGCAGTTAGTAACCAGCTGGCATTAAACAGGATGTGTTAAGCACATAGTGCATTGAAGGTTTAATATGTGCAAAAATGAAGACGTCTGGGTATTCACAAGCTAGTGTTTGATACCAAACAATACTTTGTCATTTGGTCTGTGGCTATTGCAGTCGTTTGCAGTGACAAAGTTGACTTGGTAACTGCCAGTCCTCTCGAGGATTTATTTCTCTTTAAACTCATCATTTCAGGTATTCAGTTTACAGTGATTCTCCACAGAGCTGTAGTAGAGAGGGTAAGGTGCAGTAGGAGACAAATGTAAGACTGTTTTGCTGTTGGAAAGAATATTCATGAGTGTTAGGAAGTCTATAACATAAAAAACTCTCCTCCTTTTAAGTTAATGTCAAAGCTGCTTTTTCCTGCAGCGTGGTTTGGATAAAATCCAAATAGCAGTTCAGATAGTGTGATGCACCATTCCTAGTGAAGGTGCTTGTTCCTTGGAATTGTTCCTTAATCTTTATCTGGAAAAACCCCACCCCAGGCCCAAACCAAGCAATGACAGACTGTTAACATGGCTAGAACACGCGAACAACCTCTGCCTGCCCAGCTTTTTTGCACAGAGCATATCCTGTGTGGTGTTTTAAGGTTTAACTTGTACAAAGGTATTCTTGCAATTCCACGTCTCTGTGTGTGTGTGGATGTTATTGATGCCTTTAACAGTTACTGTCCATCAGCACAGAATACTGTGATGAGGTTCTGATGCTTTCTCGTGGGAGCACCTTCAGCCTCTGAGCTCCTGTTTTGATAAATGATTCCAGAACAGTTGATTTATCAGAACGAGACCTGACCCTTCCAGTCCTTTGTACCTGGCACGACTGCCAGTGCTCTAAAGTGATAGAAGGGTTCGTAATACAGTGATAGGGTAGCTGCTTTTAATTCTGTGAAAGGCTGCCCACAGCAGTAGCACTGTGTTCGGGTAACAGGGTGGAATACTAACTGATTTTAGAGCAGAAGATGTTAGGTAAGCTCTAGAGGTGATTGATGAGAGTGGTCTCTGTACGTACGCGATGCAGGTGTTCATTGTAGAAAAGCAGTCCAGATCTGTGCAGAGCTGAAGAGCAGGTCCCGCTGCAGGACCGGCCGCGGGTGCCGATCTGTTCCTCACCCCGCCGGTCCTCGGGGAGCCGAGGGGGCAGGCCCGGAGGGACCGGCCGGGCAGCGCTCACATCAGCCGCTGCCCCTCGGCGGGGCAGCCCTCCTCTCCCGGCCCGGCTCGGCCCCAGTCGCGCTCGATGTAGAGGTGGTACGGGTCGTGCTTGGACTCCAGCTTCCGCGAGCGGGTGTAGGCCAGGATGAGCCCCCCGGCCAGGCAGCCGTAGAAGATCATGATGAGCAGGATGTAGAGCGACGCGTCCCCCCCGGCACCGGCATCGGGACCAGCACCGGGACCTGCACCGGCCGCGCTGGCGTTGCCGCCGCGGCGCAGCTCCCGCAGCAGCGCGCTGAGCAGCGCCTGCAGCCGCCGCGGCTCGGTGCAGTTCATGGCTCCGGCTCGGCGGCTCGGAGCGGCGGTACCCGGGATGGGCGGTGAGCAGGACCCGCGCTGTGCCGGTGGCGGAGAGCCCCGCACTGTGCAGGGGGATCACGGCCGCAGGTCAGATGAAGCGGTTCGTGCACGGAGCCCGGGGACCGAACCTCTCTGCTCGGGAGGAGCCGGGCGCTGCCGGGGCCGTGGGGCTGCGCCTTTCTCCCGCTGCGCTGCCTGCCCTGCCGCCGCCGCCCACAGCCTGGTGTTTGGAGAGGCTGATCCCACTTCCTCACGGTGCCAGGCTGCACTCAAACGCCCTCTCCCACGCTAGAACGGGTAAAAGTAATTCTGTTTGAAAGGTGCAGCCGAGCAGCCCTTGCTTGTGTCCTTGAGACCAGGAGCACATCCTACACAGTGGGACCAGTGGGCCTCACTGTGCACCAGCTGTGAGGGAGCAGAGAGAGAACAGAGATCTCCCTTTCGCTCAGAGAACGGAGCAAACTGAGACCCCTTGCCAGCCCCCCCCTGAATCACAGGAGCAAGATCTGTCATGAAGGTGAACACTTGGGTAAGTGTAGGTCCACCAAGGAGCAGGAAGGAGCTGGGTCTAGTTATGGGAGCTTTGGCATCTCTCCAGTCCCATTGCACCCAGGCACTGAGCGCCAAGACAGCCTGGCAGAGCTGCATGGGTTCAGCTGCTCCCAGTGCAAGAGTCATTTCCCTGCATCGTGGTGCACCGGATCCGTGTGGGAGGCCCTGGCTGGCTTATGGAGCCACTTGGCTGTGAATGGCATGGAACAGGCAAAAGCAGGGCAGTGCTGCAAGGAAAGGTGGTGGGTACAGGAGCTTGAGTGGCAGCAGCCGTGGGGGTCAGAGGGCCAGAGGGAGAATTAATGAGAGTAATGAAATAATTAAAACAATTGGAATTAGCGGATAGAGGGGTTGTTTTTGAGCAGAAAGGCTAGGAGAGGGCTGAGTGTTAGCAGGTTGGGGTTTGGGTTGTTCTTGGTGTTTGTGCTGGAGAGGGTTCTGAGGCGGTACCAGACACGCAACTTTCCTTCATTTACTTTCCTTTCCCTCCCATAGGTCTGTGCCCATAGTTATGGGGGTTTTGACATCCCAGGAATGTTCAGGTTTTCCCTCCTTCCAGGCTCTTATCTGGTAACTGTTTAAATTCAGTTGTTATCGTGCTTGTAGGTGGATGTGTCGGTGGTATGTGTTACAGGATCACAATCTTTCCAGCATGTAGAGTTGTTTTCACCCTGTGCAGTTTCTTTGCCTGTTTCCAGGAGGTGGCTAGGGCTGATCACTGTGTCCTGTCCTGTTTTCTTTCTCTGCTTTCAGGGAGAAGGATATGTTTTAACAGCAGACCAGGAGTGTCCATCTGTAAGGGCAGCTGGGAGGCAAAGTCAGTGTGGTATTGACTTACAGGCAGTAGGGTATGAGTGAGAGGTTGCTGCCTGCACAGTGAGGAGGTTGCTGATGTGCATATGGGTGCGTTTTGTCCTTTTAGGAGTCTTTTTACAGAATCACATCTCTTAAGCAAAGTTTTTGGCTCAGATGTGCAGGCACCTTGCTTTTTCACTGCTTGTGAGTGACCTACTGAAAGTACATTATCAGCTAGACAGTGGAAATAAAATGGAAAATACAATAGGTTACAGTTTTTGCTCCAGTTAGAAGGGCTGAATATCCATTTAGAATTTCAGCAGAGCCCAAAGGTCCAGTAGATTTTTCTTCACAGAGTGCCAGATTTTAATTTGCTTTTCTACAGGATGTTTTTTGTCGGTGTGAACAATTTCCTTGGCATCTTTCCTCTGAAAGCAAGGACTCTGCTTGCCAGTAAGTGCTTAGAGTGGGGTGTATGTGGGTTAAGACTGAGTCACTCTGACTTGCTGGAAAGTCAGCTTGGGTTGTGGTGTAGCATTTGTTTGCAGAGCTCCTCAGGAAGTCACTGTCACCACCTGTGCATTTCCACTCCTCACAGCAACATCCTTACTGTGCTACAGGAAGGTGTTCACAGCAGAGATTCGGGTTTAAAGATAACAAGGACAAAAAGTCACAAGGTGAGAGCTTCCCTGTTAGATGAGAGGCAAATATACTATGGAAGGCAATGAAATTAGAGGTCACTACCCTGAGCTTTATAGGGCAGAGGGGATGAGGGTTGTATTTTGAACATAGGGACAGAGTGGGGCTGGTTAAGTGACTGTACTGGGTTCAGCAGTAGCAGTCATTTTTCTCCTTCTTAGTAGCTGTGTTTTTGACTTTCAGCCTGGGAACAGCACTGATAACACCGATGGTTTTAGTTGCTGCTCAGTAATGTTTAGTCTGACCAAGGACTTTGTGAGCCTCATGCTCTGCCAGGGAGGAGGGGAAGCTGGGAGGAAGCAGAGACAGGACACCTGACCCAAACTGACCAAAGAGGTATTGGTCATGCCCAGGATGTAAAACTGGGGGCAGTTACCTGGAAGGGCTGAGATCACTGCTCGGTCAAGCTGGGTATCGGTCGGCAGGTGGTGAGCAGTTGTATTCTCTTCCCTTGTTATTTCCCTTATCATTATTATCATTGGTAGCAGCAGCAGTGGTTTGTGTTATACCTTAGTTACTGGGCTGCTCTTATCTCAACCAGTGGGAGTTGCATTTTTTGATTCTCCTCCCCATCCCTCCGGGAGCGGGAGCAGGGAAGGGGGGGGGGGGGGAAGTGGACTGATTTGCCGACAGGGTTTAATGACCCTGATGGCATTTCATAAAACCAGGCTCATCTGGAGGTTATGTGATTAGAACCGAAAGGCAGAAAGTAGAGTAGGGCAGGCAGCTGTAGAGAACAGTGATCTGTTCTTCATGTTCCCTCCCTGGGGGAGCACTGCAGGTAATGAGCTGCTCTATACCCAACAGGAAAGGTTTAGATTAGATACAGTGCTGTTTAAAACAAATAAAACCCTGGCAACACCTCCCAGGGCTGGGCCTTTCCTTGAGTGCAGCAATAATGTGTGGACTCCATGTGTAGTCAGGCTAGTCTTAGTCTTAAATAGGTTCAGCAATGCAGGAAGCCTGTTAGAAGTTGTTCAATGCTGTTTCAAATCAAGAAGTGCTGAATTACTCCCCCACCACTTAATTTGTTAAAAGGCAAATAAGGAAAACTTACATGGCCTCTCTTTGCTTTAGATGTTAACTGTAATGATAGGAGATCATGTCTTAAGAGTGATGGGTTTCATGCTCAGGGTTTGGGTTTTCAGAGGTAACGGGGATAGCATAGCTGGGGTGGTCACCCTTCTGTAACAGAGGACAGGTGAAGGTGTTAGTTACATGCTTGGCATCTTTGTTAATGTTCATTAGTGAGCAAGTTATTCATGTTCCAAAATGGGAAAACAAGTGAAAAATGCAACAGAGTTGGGTTTGGTGTTGTTTTTACCCTTTCAAAGCAGGTGAGGAGGCTGAGGACCACACACAGTGCCCAGAGCTGTTTGTCTAATGATGTCATTATCACTGGTCTGATGGCAGGACTGCACATAGTTTTGGACAAATTCCCTGTGATAATCAGCTTCATTAAAGCACTTTGGCAATATAGAATAAATCTGATTTTCTTCAAAACATGGCTTCCTAAAAAGCACAAGATTTATTCCTTTTAAATGTCTGATATTTAAATTTTAGCCTCCACAAGGGAAATGGATTTACTCTCATGTAAATAGAGTTCAGCCATTAGACAGGCTTTGTTAAACAAACAGCCTGCTCAGAACCACCCAAAACCAAGACACAACACAACAAACGGCACACCAAAACCAAATCCATAGTGAGAACGTATTTCTTGCATGGCATGTAATTGCAGAACATCCCTGGTTGATCATTCAAATATAACGTAGTTATTTGAAATAACTATTCTGGGACAGGGTAGGTTTGGGGCTGGTGGGGTTTTCTGTCTGAAAATTAGTGACCCACATTTTCAACTCGCATCCTTTTCCTTATAGAGCCAGAAAGTGTGCGATGGGAATGGCAGTTCAACACACAGGCTTCCTCGGCAGGCAGCTCTCTTGTGTCATGCTATGCTCAAAGATGGTGCAATGGGCACTAAAATTGGATTGGGTTGGTTAAACACCTACTCTTAAAGAGAATAACTCATCGCTTTCTCTGTTTATACATTTTTTGTCCCCCTGCAAGCCGTTTAATGACACCTTGCTGTTACCTGCAGCATTACTATTGCATTATGTGCAGCAGCCTGGTTCTCCTGCCCCAGCCCCAGTTCTGTGCTGAAGCTGTTTCTGAAAGGTGCTGTTCAACCTTTATCGACACAGAGGCTCTGTTGCCTTTCAGAAGGTAGGGATCTTGAGGCACTAGTTCAGCATTTAGAAAGGAATAGTTTTAAAGGTGTTTCTTTTAAAATATCTAATAATCAATGTCACTCAGTGTAAGCTTACTCTCTGCTTCTTCTCTTCCAATGGTGATAACTCTTGTGCTTGTCTTAGGGCAATATGTATGTAGCTGAAGGTTACTCTTGTCAATTCACCATTCTTCAGGCCACCTGAACTTAACTGCAATCTTCCTTCACACGTGAAGCTTTCTAGACCCACTTTTATGGTACTTAAACTCTAGATATCCCATGGGGCTTTTTGAACTAGAATGCCTAAACATCTTGTATCAGATGCCCAAACTGGATTTTGTTTCTCTTTCAACTTGTTTCTCAGGCTGAGGAGGGCAATTTGAAGTTCTGAACCAGCTTTCTGAAGATCTTGCAGCTACTGTGAGCTTTCTGGAATCTTCACGTTTCATAAATGAACTGCTCCCTCACACTGCAGTGGTGGGTTAGCAGTTGAATGCTACTATCTTAGAGGTCTTTTCTAACCTACATGATTCTGTAATGGTTTTGAAGCCTTCCACTGTTTATCTATGCATCCGAGTTCCTTACTTCTAATGACAAGAATGACATTCTTGCTCATCCTCTGTTTCTTTCTCCCCAAGCTGTCACAAAAGTATTCAGAATTCATTAAGAAAGAGGATAAAGCTCTTGCCAAACTGCAAATACA